ATACCCATGTCTATATCTAAATATAATACAAATAATGAAAATATTCTTTGTGGCAGATTCATTATTATATTAATTTGTAATTTATTAAATTGTGATCAATTGTCCTGCGGTAATTTGCCATTGCGATCATTAGTTAACGATTAATTGTTTGTGGTCAATCGACGTGCGAGCAATTGATAGGATACCGTTGTAGGTGGGTAGTGGGGAAAGTTATTTAATTTAAATCTGTAACCAAAGATAAACCAATGATAACGAAAGATGTTTTGGAACTAAGTTCGCTTATATATGTTTTGAAAGTCCGTAATATTTATGATATTTGTTAAAATTTGATGTTAAAATTTCTGTATAAAAAATATAAAAATATATTAAATAAAGCTTATTTTAAACTACATAAACCACAATATACGAAAATTATGGAAACCTTTGTTAAATTTTCAAGCATTTCTATTTAGTCTTATAATTTTATCCACCGATTACATACCAAATAAAAATTATGTACAAAACTTGCAAAATTTAAATGTTATAATAAGTTCAAAAATGGATCAAATGTTTTCAACATTTTATTACGTCCAGAAAAGCAAATATTAGTTTTTTGTCAAAGTTCTTGATTCTTTATAAACATATTAAATTTACATTAAATTTATATATTAAAAATACAAAATTGAAGATCATATAATAAATAAAAAAACCTTTTTCTTATTCACCAACCAGATAACAAATTCAACAAAACAAATCTCTGGATGGTTTTTCTTCGGAGGAATTTTTATGGTAGGAAACTCAAGCCATACAAATTAAAAAAAAATGCAACCATTGTGCTGTAAATTGGAAAAAATCGTATACTTCGTCTGTTTTTCCCAATTATTTTGTAAAATACGTTAGATATCAAAAACTACTTACATCGTCATTTGCGAAATATTATAATAATTAAAATCATTGTCACTTTGGATCGGAGCAATATTTCTTTTCGAAAACAACTTGTTGACATAATAAAAACAATGGAAACGGTAACGCTTAAATATTTTTCATTTTACCTTTACTTTTCTTTTTGACTTTTTCCAATTTTTTTCAAAAACCCTCGGATATTTGAAAATAACCTCGTTCATGCATCAATGAGGAAAAATAAACTTTCAAGAAAGGCGCTTCAGTGTAAACTTCAGAGCAAGTTGTCTAGTAGAAAAGCTGTTTACAGACAGTAAAAAAATTATATATAATACACACATCACAGTATAATCAATAGATTCCACACTACGATCCGAATTTAGCACATCTATCATCTTCGATATTAAATGAAACACATTTTCGTATAAAAGTTATTTTTCTATTATTTTTATATAGAGAAAGACTTTTAGCCCTGAAATCTGAACCCTACTTAATATTTGAAATAGAAGTATATTAATTATATACATCATTAATCTTATTACAATTTCATTAAAATATTAGAAATTTCAGTTTTTAGAAAAATAAGTTTTCTGGCATGCGAGATAGTTGCTCACCTTGCCCCTCCCATACAAACGCTTATGACAACGATGACAACATTTAGCCAAATAACATAATATAATCACGTATAGTCCTAGACTTATACATCTAAATGTTTAAGTCCCAAACGTTGCTGATATCATATCTTGTGTCACGGCATTCAAAGCATCAGTTATCCTGGCTTGGAGTTCATCCAAGTCTGTAGGTAATGGTGGTACATAAACATAATTTTATACATAGCCCCATAAAAAAAATTACACACTTGTAAGTTCTGAGGAATTTGATGGCCACGAATGAATCGTCAAATAATTGATCAATCATTGCTATTTCAAAACTAACTGACAGCAGTTCACTAAACATTACAGCATTTATAAATAACATAAAATAACCTAAAAATAAACTTCACTTTCCTATCTTTCCATTAGTATATGGGTCGTTAACCTGAGATCAACGATTGCTAAGCTGTCAGTTCCTAATCTTATAAAAACTTTTGAAACACTGTGTATATTATCAATTAAAAAGTATCAGTTAAAAATATTTGAATTTATCACTGTAATATAGTATAAAATTTCCAATAAAATGTATTGTTGTTCAATTTAATTTGTAGTATTACCACAGAATAACCTTTACCTAAACTGAGTACCGATAAGAAAAAATGTGCCGCATCTGTACCAAAGTTCTGTACAAAACTATGGTCATTTTATAAGGCATATTTTAAAGTAAATATTGAGAATATTAGGTAAGAAAACCCTCGAAAACATTTTAGTAATAGAACTGCGTAAACAAAAAAGAAATAGTTTAATTACTGTCAGACTTCAGGTACTACGTAGAAAACGAGTATCATACATTTGATAGGGTTCGATTTTTTTGATATTAATGATATTGCAATGATATACGATTATAAATCATGATATTTCCATGAAAACAATTTATTTCCTCAACAATACAGTTTTTTGTTATTTTTCTATAACCGTTTGATAAATATTAATATTTTATAGTGATATTTTTAATTATACTATATAATTGAATTATAAATTGTAATGTTATTAATTTGTTTTAATGCTTGTTTTCTCTAGAAGAACAATCGGAATATGGTAATTATTTTTTTTTTTTAATTATGTTAACGTACCTAATTTTTAATAATGCAAGTCATATTTATAATACATTATATTAGCTAATATTGAGATTGGTTGGTATGAGAACGCGGTATGACAATTAATAAATGAGTGTAAACAAAAATTTTAAACTAGAAGAGTATGTTTAAATTATTCGATTTCTGTATTATATTCTTTGTTTATTAAAAATATGCTATAGATTATATATTTAATATCAATTTTACCACTATCTAGTTTTCTTATACATACGTGGTAAGCCAGAAATCATACAGAATAATATTCTTCACTCAAGACATGTTAATTTTATTTAATCGCTTTCAAGAAAAATTATATAAATACATTTCTTTCAATGTTCGATTAAAATCTCGGGAAGGCATAGACATCGCTTTTCAGTCTCTAGAAGCCACCATCCAAGAAGCAATAACGGACTTTGCCGACAGCAAAACAAAGTAATCTATTTGGAAACCACCACTTAGAAACTTTTTTTTTAAAAACTCAAGAGTGTGGTCAACACTATTATTGTTTGCAATTATATGTGACTACTACTGATGGGAAAAATTTGGTTTAGATAAAGTTCGAAAATCCGGATTCTTGGAATTCCGAATCCAAAATATGGATTTTACTTTAAATCCGGATCCAGGAAATTGAAATTGAAATTTTAGATATTGAAACTTTCTATTAATATTCTTTTGTGTATTAGTTGTAATAATGTTTTATTAACTAAACTTAAATTTAATATGAAAAAAAAAAATGATTTTGTTTTAATTAAAATACACAAATCTACAAGTTGGACCCAAAACCCGTAAATTTAAAATTCAGATTTTAGATAATCCGGATTCTTCCGATTTTTGATAATCCAGATTTATTTCACATTACAAATGGGTACTCTCTTACCATTTAAGCTCTGTAGATGTCATTAATCAGCATTTTTTTAAGTTAATATATTGATTTTTAAAGTATGGATAACCCCAAAATTGAAGAGTAGAAGAGTTTAAATATAAAAGAAAAATTATAAGAATATAGAATATTAAGGAACTTAACGTTATATTTAAACTTTTACATTTTCGTGCTTAGCATTATTAAAACTGTTAAGCACATAAAACCGGTTTCTGTTACCTAAATTATAATGACAATATCACTATGAATATTCTATAATTAATCTTAACTTAGTTTTTTTATATAGCTTTTTAAGATGTTTTATTATTATTACACTAAATAATGAAATAAGCAATTTAATAAATACAATTTTACTTTAAAAAAGATACGGACATACTTCATAAATTGCATTGTACAACTGTACGCAAAGATTAACCATTGCTAACGAAAGATGATTCTGAGCGAAGTTCGAATAATATTGTTGCTTTGTTAACAAAAAAAATAAATAAACATCATTGTAAAACCAATACATTCCTCGCTCCGTTCAGAATCTAAAATTCAATGAACTGATACTTATTGTTGAATGTCTTTTATAACCTTAGTAACAATACCAAGAGGTAAGTTATTATAAAAATTCCTTATAAATGTTAACATAATTTAGTTATTTATTAGAATAATGAGTAATTTCAGTAGTATAAAATATAACGAAAACAAAATGATATCATTATAAATTGTAATGATACATTTTATTATATTTCTTTTTTTACAACTAGTACCTGTACTACAATCCCTAACACGTAAGTTATTATTTTGATATACCTTATTCCTTATATTTCTCAATATCATTTACAAATCTTTTAGGATAATGAGAAATTTCGGTAGCATAAAATATAATAAATATTTTAAATGTAACATAACTTATAATTTACTAATATTTATTGATTATTTAACTAATAAACATTTTAATATTTAAAAATGTATAGTTTAATTATTAGTTTAATAATTATATAATAAGGGAACAGAATACTCCCACTGTGCTTCTACCTATTATAAGTTGCGACCAATGGGANCCAAATAGTATGTGGCGATCTAATTACTTTGGTAGATTGTTCCATTTCGGATATGTGTAGGGACAAGTGACTATGTTTGTAAGCTTGCTCTGCTTACACTTTTAAGTATGAATCGTGGAAGAATAGTGATGCATTGTTAAAACGTCATACGCTGCGCCATCCTACCACTCAAAAAATAATCCACTGCTATTCCCCGATCAAAACTAAAATGGGGAATACTCGTCACCGGATTGACGGGAATCATAAATTTCAACACCAAAATTAATTTCAACTAATAGTCCATCTAAGTATAGACATCTTATTAAAGGTTATTCCAATTTGAAAATAAAAAGTAATTAATGGTTTTAAGTTTAACGTTAAAATGGTTCACGACACCGCTCGTATCTATGCCAACAATTTGTTTATTTTTTGTCGTGCACGTGTTGCGGCTCCGTCGTCCAAGCTCCAGTTAACGGGAGCTCAATCAAGTTCGTTTATATCCGCTACATTTTGTTTCGTCACGCGTTCGCGCAGTATCATCCGCTTGCGGCCGATTTGTATCCGCTATACGCGATTTTGCGGCCGTGCGTCGTTCATCGCTGGTTGATGGGACAATTGTCCTCCGAGGTCCACTTAACCTCAAACAGAGATCGGTGCCAAAGCACCGCCACCTCGTGGGACTTTTGTCACCGTCAAGTCGCCTCAATCGCTGCTCATTTGCTAAACAACATTGGACAGCCTATGATAACGTCTGGTTGTGAGTCGTGATAGCCGTGTATAATAAATTTTTTTGTACCAATTTAAAGGTTAGCAAACCATTTGTTTATGTACGCCTGTGTGATCAAGTTTCCGATTACACTGTTATTATTCTCCTTTTTTTAATATTTTCATTTGTATATATATATTGCGCGCAGATTTAACTTTAATCAACTCTATACCAGCTTATTTCTGTTTTGTATATTTAAATTTAATAACGTGCGGGCCTTGCCGCACGTCCCCGTTAAATCACTTATTCAACGTCATTTATAAGTGTGGTCGTCTAGCCCATAATCCCCAAACATCCTAAAATATTCGTCTATTCTCCGACGATGTAGTTATTGATGCTAACCGCCCATTAGTAGAAGCATCTCGGCTAAACAATATTAAACAAATATTATTTAAAAGAATATATAAAGCTAATTTTATTATTTTAATATAATATTACATGAATTGTTAACAAAGCATCACTATCAAATAAACTCCGCTCAGAATCAATTTTTGTAAGCAATGGTTTATTGTTGCTTACAAGTATACATTAATTTATCTAAATTATCTATAACAGTAATTGGAAGTAAGTGGCGTCCATTGTGTTTGTATACAAAATTTATATTAAAAAATAGTGAACGATTTTTGTAATACATATTTTAATTAATAGAAGTGAATTATATCAATTTAATTTATAATATTACAAAACATTAATAGTCCTTGTATTATTTTAATATCCATATTCCAGCACCACCAGAACCAGGACGTAAGTTATTTTTTTAATATTTCAAATAGTTCTCATAAAAAACCTATGTAGTAAGAAAGTAGCTACATTGTCATCAGCNTTTCGGATTACAATGACAAAACTGTGATATTTTATCTATAATATTCAGGAGCTTAAAGAAATGGAATTTTCTCACATAACAAAACTGTTTTCTGTAACCAACATAATCATTTTACAGATATGAATATTGCATGGATTTTGTTTTATAACAAATACTATTTTATTAATTAACTAAGATTTTATTATGTACACTAATGTATGTATACTAAAATAATAGATTATTTTAATAGCATTAATTTGAATAATATTTATGGTTTATACATTTTGTTTTCTTTAGAACCACTAGTTGAAGGTATTGTTTTTTTTAATAATAAATATATTTAGTTTGTAATATTCCAGGACATGTTTTATAGTTTGAAAAACAGCAAAATGGACGGTAGACGAGTGTAAATAATAAATATTTAACCAGGCAATAATTTGTATTGATTTTCTATAACTACTTAACTGTTAAGGTCGCATTTGAAACGAACCCGGGTGCACCAATGATCAATCGTTGACAGATATTTGAAATGATTGTATAGTTCTTTTATTTGAGGTCTTAATAGAGCCCCATATAACGATGTCCATATAGGTCGAAGAAGAGTTATATATGGAATGATTTTGATGGGTATAGTTAGGTTGGAACGAAGGAGGGGCCTAACAGATATAGTCTGGAATTAAGTTTCTTACGCTTGTCTTTAAGATGAGGAGACCAGGTTAGGCGCCTGTCAAAAGTAAGACCAAGATATTCGACTTCATTCGAGTGAGGAATGATGGTGTTGTTGATAGATACAGCTGGGCAGTTATGGGGTCTGAGCGAGAAAGTAACAAAGGAGGATTTCGATTCATTGTTTTTTATTTTCCAGTTGGTAAACCATTCAGAAAGTGTATTTAGGTGAGTTTGCAGCTGTTGAGACACGATCGTGCAGTCGGAAGAAGCTGATAGTAAGGCGATATCATCAGCATATGTTCCGACTATGGTATTTTCAGAGGTAGGCAGGTCGTACGTATATATGTTATATAAGAAAGGAGCGATGTCGCTTCCTTGAGGGACACCAGCAAAGATAGGATATTGATTTGAGTGTTGCAGGTTGTGACGAACGAAAAATGAACGGTTTTTTAGATAGGATTTCAGTATAAGGGGGCCGGAAAAATATGTTTGAGTTTAAAAAGAAGACCTTCGTGCCAAACGGTGTCAAACGCTTTAGCAATATCTAAAAAGACTCCGGCGCAGTATTGTTTGGTTTCAAGTGCTTTTGATATGATATCCGCAACCCAATGAAGTTGATGAGTTGTGACAAGGTGGGAACGGAAGCCAGACTGGAAGTTTGGGATACTGTTATTTGCTTGTGCTAAAGTGGTGATGCGCTTGAGAATAATTTTTTCAATAATTTTTCCCAATACCGGTAATAGGCTAATAAGCCTATAAGAGGAGGAATTTTCAGGAGGCTTGCCAGGTTTGAGGAATATGACAATGACACAAGATTTCCAGGTAGTAGGAAAATACAATAAACGAAGAGCAGCGTTATAAATATGTGTTAGATGAATGATCGCTTTCGTAGGGAGATTTTCGACGGCTTTGTTGGAGATCAAGTCATGACCGGGGGATTTGTTGTTTGCCAATTTTTTGGTAATACTCTCTATCTCCGCTGGAGATGTTGGTCTTGCAGAAAGAGACATAGGTAAAGTTGACTGAAGTGACTCCATGACTGTCGACATATGTGATTCAAGTATGGAAATGAGATGTGGTTTGAATACTCCTAATAGTTCTTGAGCTAGAATATCTGCTTTTTCCCTGTCTGTGGTAGCAAGTGTGTTATCTGGGTTGGCGTAAAGGAGGAGGGGAGTCCTTAAACCATAAAATTGACTTTGTTTTGCGCCACAGAGATCCGTTTTTAAAGGAAAGGTTTTGTATGTGATTATTATACAGATTGGATTTATGAATATTGAGTAGAGATTTAAGTTTTTTAGAAAGGTAACTATAGTTTGACTTGTCCATCGGGTAGTGCGTTCGTTGCGTTCGTCTGCGTTTTTCAGCAATAAGTTGTCTTAATTTCGGAGAGAGATTGGGTGATTGAGAATAGGGAAGACTCTGAGTAGATGAGTTCATGGCTGATTTATTAATGTCATCAGAGAATTTAGTAATTGCTTGATTGACATCAGAAGATGTTTTTAATTTGGTATTAAGAATTATTTTGTTTGAGATAGTAATTTTGAATTTGTTCCAATTGGTAATGCTCGGAGAAATGGTAGGTCTATTTTTCTTCAAAGAGGGTTGGGCTCCAATGAGAAGCAAGACAGGCGTGTGATCAGAAGCTGAATTATTTATATTTATAATTTCGGTGGAAAAATGGTTAGGAAGATAGGTGATAAGAAAGTCGTGGTTGTCTGGGTGGCAGTTGCTGTGTGATGGCCAGTACGTCAGAAAGAGAGATGCTGTTATCTTGAGGTGATTGAGCAAGATGAAATTTTGAAGAGCTCGGCTCCTGGTGTTGGTGTAGTGGCTCCAAGTTAGGTATTTAGCGTTGAAGTCAGTACCGATAATATGTGTGAAGCTTAAAGTTTGAGAGAGAAAACCCAGTTCGGCTGAAGGAAAAGATCTTCCTGGGGGAAAATAGCATGAAGAGATGAAGATAGTTTGAGAGTTTATTTTTATCGATATGCTTGCTGCTTGAATATTTGTAGACAGATATGATGGAAGGGGGATATGATCAATTTTATTAGAAATGAGCAGAGCGGTACCTCCATGTGTGGTACCATCTGGGTGGTCAGCTCTAATAATATCGTAACCAAAAATCTTAAGTGCAGAGGTTATAGTTAGGTGAGTTTCCGAAATAAGTACTATACTAACTTTTTTTTCATTTAGAACAAGTTGTAATTCATTTAAATGTTGTAATATGCTGTTAGCGTTCCATAGAAATATAGAGAGTGGTTGCAAGTTATTTTTTGGCATTATTTTTAAGTTTATCAATGACTGTAGTAAGAAGTGAAATAAGAGGATTTATTAATGCTTTAAATTCGTTGATAAATGATGAGAGTTTAACGGACATGTTTTGGTTTTGGTTGGAGTTTGTGTCTTAAGTACGAGAAGAAGAATCTTGGTTTAATGGGGGAAAATGTTGTGAGTAAGCTTGGTGTGAAGGTTTGTAGGTAGTCCCGTGAGTTGGTTGACGTGGAAGAGAGCTTTTATTCGAGATTTTTTTTAAAGGGTTCTCTAATAATTTTTTTTTAAGATCCAGGTGAGATTGACAACCCCTAAAGTTGGCCGGATTACCACTGCATAAAGCGCATTTGGCTGGAGAACTGCGTTCTTTGGTGCATGCAGTTGACTCGTGTAACTCACCGCAGCGGACACACCGAGGAGAGTGGTTACAATAACTGCGAGTATGGCCGTAGTTCTGGCAACGGTGACATTGCGGGATTTCTTTTTTAGGATGAGGAGTTTCAACTTTGATTTTAGTAAAACAAAATGTAGTTAGTTTGAAAATATCGGAGTTTGTTGAGCTCGGTTCTAAATCAAAAAAGAAGATCGGAAGGGGGGAATCGGTAATCTTGTTGGTTACAGGTATTATGTTTCGAGTGATAAATCCTTTATTTAATAGTCTTGTTTAATAAAAGAGGAGTCGATTGAATGCTGTAGGTTTCTAATTACGACACGATATGCTTTTTCCTCTTTTGGTTGGAATGAGTGAAATGAGACGTTATTATTCTTGAGGTAAGCGACGACTGATCGATAGGAGTCAGGGCAATATGTTTGGAGTTTAATACCTTTGGCAGAGCTTTTGCAATCAAATCCAGATTCATCAGTTAATTGTTTAATTTTTTGACAAAAATTGTTATAGTTTATTTGTTCTTGAATAAATATAGGAGGGGGTTTTGAAGTTTTATTTGCATTGATATTTGGATTTGTAAGTGTAGTTTCCATAGGTTGGGGCTCATTAAGAGGAGCAATTGGAGAAAAACGGTTAGCTGAGATAAAAATATTATTGTCTGGTTTTTTTGCGGTGGGAGAAATGCTGTTTGGTGATCTCAGACGTTTTGAGGCCGGTGGGACTGTTTGCCAGTCTGAATCGTTGTCGGAGAAGTCCGAGTGGCTGTTGACACCAGTTTGATTAGATGAGTAACTCATAATGATGTGGATAAATTGAATTAATAATTATATTTAAAATGAGGTAATTTATAGGTTGGTCTTGGTTTAAGATTAGGTAGCATAAATATTACCAGCGGTACTAGTACCGCGAGACGAGCGCAGGACACGACGAACAATACAAACGTAATCAAGCTGATAACGGAGCGAGTGGTAATTAACGTGTGGACTGTACGGCGTCTAAACACGAACTGCAAGTTTCCTAGTAAAAAAGTTAAGCACAGGAAAAAAAAATTGTAAAACTTTATGTTTTTTCAAACCACTCAGAATTTAAAATGAATTATTTTAATGGCATTCATTTTAATTAATATTCATATTTTTTATATGTTGTTTTTTCTAGTTAAGGATTTTAGAGGTATTGTTTTTTTAATACACTAAATAAATTTAGTTTATAATATTGCAGGACATATTTTATAGTTTTAAGAAACAATATAATGAATGGTAGACGAGTGTACATAACAATGATGAACTAGGCCATAGTTTTAATTGATTTTCTATAACTACATAATAGTCAAGCCTGGGTCATTCAAATTTCATGACAAATTTACGTTTATTTATAAAACAGTAGTTTTATTAATGTAAATAACCCTCGTACATATTACATTGCCAATGATTTCCGAAAAAATGAATCTGTATTTAACCAGGCAAAAATAATATATGTTTTAATTTCACGCGTAATACGTAATGTTTTAGTTGTTTTCTGAATTTATTTAATCACACCGCAATATCTGTACTGTGTTTAAACATTTATCAATGCACTGTATTGAATGATATTATCTTAATAATATCCGACTCATCCAGTGGCGGATTTAAAGAACGTTTAGTCGGCAAATGCTGACAAAGCCTCCTCCTAAATTGTGTACTGAAGACTCAGTCATTTATATAGTGTACTTATTACTGATAAATACAACTAAGTCTTGACCAGGGTCTGGTGTAACAGCGGCATTTACTCATAGTTATAATTTGACAACCATGTTTTGTTTAAATATTAATAAAACCATTTGTGAACTTCAACACACTTGTGTACATCTTCCCGTCAAAAGGTTATTTCCGAACGACCCGTAATACAATAGATATTATATTGAGTTATTTTACTTTCATAATTAAACATTCATTGTTCGATGTGTTGCCTCAAATAGATATTCATTTAGAATATTTTCAATATTACCCATTGGATGTGCGAGTGCTAAAAATATGCGATTGTACTAAGAAGATTAAAACATAATCTTCATTCAACTTTGGTTCAAAATCGAACAAGCAATTTAGCTTTACTTAACATGAAGTATGAAGCTGTATGAACGATCTTATCAACAATTTTTGCAAAGCTATGTTTGTAAAAATTCTTAACTATTATTTTATATACTTACCATTAATTTTGTTGTATTTTTAAAAATGGTGTATTTTTTTTTTAATAAAAAGATTTGTTATTAAAAATGAATATGGGCCGGTTATCTTGTGTTTCAAACGAAGCGAGCGGTTTATAAATTTGGGGTATTTTAATGATACATTTTGTACGAGGCTCTTCCTATAGACTTTCCGACTTTATTTGAACCTATAAATCCGCCACTGTTACTCGTCGTATAATGATTGAGAATAATTTATATAATGTACATATTTATGAAGCTTAAAATTTATGAGTGTCTTAATGTATTTTGCGGCTATATAAGAGGGAATGATCAGCGTGGACGTCAGGGTAGAACTTAAATCTTTAACAGAAGTAATCGATAACAAGGATGATTCAGAATTGTATACGAATACTCAATGTTAGAGTGCCTTTTACTAAATGACGTAGACTTGCATTTGTTGATATTTTTCAAATATATATATAACAGAATAATGAACGTTTTCTGTAATATATATTACTACCCTTGAATTTTAATTATACTTATTATTAATATTCCTTTTTTTTTTTTACTTTTGTACCAGTACCTAGCAGTACAATAGGTAAATATTAATATCAAAAATATTAAACACAATTTTAAAATATAAGTGAAATAAAATAAAAATGTATAATAATTTAGGTATATTGAATATATATTTCAAATGAATATGTTTAAAATGCTTATCAAAGTATACTATTTAATAATGATAATAAGAATAAGGAATTCACAAAGAATGATTATATTTTTTACCAAATAATTTCGATTAGAAAATAGCATGCGAGAGATGCATTATATTTTTTTTCATCGATTTTTCATTTTTTTTCTATCGACACACCGTCCAAATTATTGTCGCAATCGGTTCGCAAGTGGCTAGCGGTAGGCTCAGCTCGCACATGTGTACGCAACTTTACATATACCTATTATCTATATTTATCATATTAAAATTCCTAAAATCTAAATGATTATATTACAATTCAAAATTAATTCTATATTTCTATATAATATTCAACCTTCGACACTTTTAATGATAATAATATATAATATATATATTTTCTACATCGGACCTAGCAGTTATTATTGTCGAATTTGTTCCAATATATACCCGTAATCAAAAACATACAAATATAATTTGTTTGCAAATTGGCAGTTAAATTAAATTTGTATTATCTTTGTATTTGGTCATTGCATTATACTGTGGGAGTACAGTAGCCATTATTTTTTTTTGGTGGATGAAGAAATTATTACTTTGAATTAAGTTATCATATTTTGTTGAATGATAAAATACACCGAATCAATGAAAATATAAAAAAAAAAAAAAACTGGTGGCCCATCTCCCCGGCACTGATGTGCACTATTCAGAGGAGGTCAAAGTTCCTATTCCCGAAAATTCCGCAATTTCGAGATGTCACTAGGTACCTATATAATAATATTTTAAATTTACTTAACAATTTCTATAGTCATGAAATCAACTTTTCAACAGTTAGGTAGGTAGTCTACTAGATAGAGCGTTAAGATAGAGTAGGCAGTGTGTTGGGTTCAATACCGATTGTGGCAGAGATATAAGATTCTATTTTTTTGCAATTTTTCTTAATAAAAACAACAAAAAACAAGAAATTATATTTATGAGATATTAACTTAACAACGCAAAGATTCTTGATCGGTTCTCTGTGGTTTCTTAGAGGGGCCGGGAGAGCTGTTTTATTCCCCGGGTTTACTAGATTACACAGGCTTTTTCGTGGCGCTACCAGTAGCGTCACGGATTTCTACACGATGTGAAGCGAACATGTCATATGTTCGCTTCACATTTACACATTCACACATTATGTAAATTCTCGCTGGGCGGGTGAGTGTCAGTACTTCCCCACCGAGGTTGTATCTAGTGAGAGATCGAGTCTACGGGCTTGCCTCTCTGCGTGGTCCTCCGTGGGTCTTTTTGCGTTCCGACCGTTGGGTCGTACCGTGGGATGTTTCCAGACGATCCACTTATCTTTGGCAACGGTGATTGAGTTATCAAGAGCGTGTTGGGAGAGAACTGATTACCTCTAGTTTAAACTAATCATCTTTTCCGTCAGGGGTGGTCGGGTGTTGAACTATGTCCAACTTTTGACGTCTATAAAATGTAATCCGGTTGCTCTCCAGAACCCCGATGTTGACCCTCTCTGGCGCCGAACTGAGGCCTTAGGAACAGACTCATGTCCGGTGACTGCGGTTGTATTCGGACGGGCTTATGAGTTTCGTTGAGTAGTGGTTAAATAGCCAAAGGCCATCCACCTTTCGGCAACTGAACCTGTGAACAAACGGTAATTAAATTGGGTTGTGGCTGCTGGGACTGCGCTTTGATGTATTGAAATGCATCTGGGTTCGCCTTGAATCTCCGTGACTTCTGAGTAACTATTATAGTTAATAGACGATCCACGGTTATACCATGCTTTTATCAAGGAATAAAAATTATATATAATACATATATTATATATAAAAATAATATTATACTTAGAAATCTGAGCGGGTTTTCTAGTAAAAAAGTTGCGCACAGAAAAAAAAAACATTTTTGTAAAACTTTAAGCTTCTTCACTCCACTCAGAATCTAAAATGGATTATTTTTACGGCATTCATTTTAATTAATATTCATTTTTTTTATGTATTGTTTTCTTTAGATATGAATTTTAGAGGTATTGTTTTTTTAATACACTAAACAAATTTAATTTATAATATTGCAGGACATATTTTATAGTTTTAAGAAACAATATAATGAATGGTAGACGAGTGTACATAACAATGATTAAATAGGTCATAATTTTAATTGATTTTCTATAACTACATAATACTCAAGCAAGTAATTCTAATTTCGTGACAAATTTACGTTTATTTTTAAAACAGTGGTTTTATTAATGTAAATAACCCTCTCACATAATACATTGTCATGCATTTCCGAAAAATTGTATGTGTATTTAACCATGTAAAAATAATATATGTTTGAATTTCACGCGTAATTCGTTATGTTTTAGTTTTTTTTCTGAATTTATTTAATCATACCGCAATATCCGTATTGTGTTTACACAGTAATCAATGCACTGTATTTAAGGATATAATCTTAATAATATCCGACTCATCCAGTGGCGGATTTAACGAACGTTAAGTCGGAAATGCTGACGAAGCCTTCTCCTAAATTGTGTATTGAGGACCACATAAATAAGGTATATACCTAGTTTTTTTTTTTAAAGATTTTTCAAAACAAAAAAAAATAAAATTTTCTTTGAAATGCAATATAATTTGCCATTGTTTTAATTATAAAATAATTTATACATAGTAATACATCATAAGTAGAAAATGTTATTATTAAATAATGTTTAAGAGATTGAACAGATAACTTGTATATGCGAAACTTATGTATTCTATCTTCTATATCCACAACCATCAATCACAAATATTTCTATTTACAGCTATAATACATGCTACTGAAATACTGCTTACTAATCTATATGTACGAATGTATGAGTTTATAATTAATTTTATCGATTTTACACGCAATACAAATTAAAATACACCAATAGGCAATTGTTACAGACTCTGTCCTCCACGTGTTTAAGTTTGCTAA